TCAATGGCTTTCCTGACAAGGGATCAAAGATTGTGTAAAATACAAGACTTCAGTCCCATTTCAACATGAGCGATGTCTGAGATAGAGAAATCGTAAATGACATCCTATAAGAAACATCCCTCCCAAGAGCAGTCCACCTTGTCCAGCCCGGGGAGAAGTGAGAGTGAATGTCACCCGAGACTCAAGTAAACAGGAAAGGAAAGCAGACCCGTGGCATCAGGCCAAGTTAACACCACATGAATCAACCTAAATCCCACTGCTGCGGACTGGAGGCCAGGCCGGAGAGCAACCACAGCATGGTAGGATGATTCTCGAGGAACTGAGGTGGGTTTAAATAAGCTTTTGAGCTGAACTTCCCAGTCAAGTGAGTGGCCAGACAGCATGGAGCTCAAGAGACAGCAACAGAGGAGGGTTTAATGGGTGTGCTAGAATGTATCTGTCCCCAATGCCTGGCACAGAGGAGCAGGCACTCAATAAACACATGTGAGATAAATAAACTCTAAGGAATGACACATGGTGACTCTCCTTAGAGCAAGGGTAGACCACAGAGACGGTAAGTTAAATGAATCTTTCTAAAGAAACAACCATTTTCAAGCCTTTTCAATGCCCTGTTCTTAAAAAAAAAAAAAAAAAAAGGCCTACGACCACTGGGGGGTAAAACATGAAGGTAGGAGGAAGCCCATGTTGATCCAAGCAGTAAGTAGGCAGAAGGATGCCCAGAGCAGGGGTCTCAGCAAGGGGGAAAGCCATGAGTGAGAAGAGCAAAGGCTAAACTAGGACCCAGTCATAAGAAACCGAAGATGCACATGAGCCTGAGCCTCCTGGAGACAGCAATGACCAGGCGGGTTGTGCAGGAGATACAGTCACCCTCTACACCCTTGAAGCACTGGGTCCAGAGGACGGTAAAAACGTGATCCCAGGTACACATGGATCCCTTAAGTAAATTCACTGTTATCTTCTGGAAATCATGAATGGTCACAAGACCTCAACATAGTCCAGCATACAGACATCAAAACTTGCCTAATAGACACTTAGCACTGGGGCTCCAGACATGGATTTCTTGCCTTGGAGCAAGATGTGGTTTGGCTGTGATACACATGCCCCACTCTAGAATGGGGTGTCACCATGGAGATTTTTCCTCCAAGATAATTACATTCAGTTTCCTGTTCTCCTTTTGTCCACCCCTTGTCTTTTATTATTCATTCTTCTCCACAGGTTCTCTCAGCATTTGGCTTCCAAAATATCCATGGAGCCCTCTAAACCCATCCTGTTCTCTTTCTCCCAAAGACTGGGTCAGGACTACCTCATTTTGGGGCCACTAAAGCCACATCATGGGAAATCCAAGGCCTGGATGGCTCCCCAGCTGTGCTGTCTCTATCCAGGGGTTACAGCTGACAGATTCCTCTCTGTGGCCAATTATTTTCCATGGCCCTTGGCTATATGACCTTGGACCATGATCTTGTCAGTTCTCATAAACTAACCAGGAGTAGAATGAATTACACTCAGAGAGGAAACCTCTAGGGAAAACTGCAAGAGGCTGTGAGAGGAGAAAGACAGTAAACTAAGGACCCCAAGGCCATGGGAGTCTCAGTGTGACCCAAGCCTCCACCGCCTCAGAGTGGCTTCAATGTATATGAAGGGAGGAGACAGAGTCAAAGGCCTTTGGGCGGCAGGCACGATTGTAAGAGGGCTACTAAACTGAATAAGATTTACGGTCTCAATCCAAGAAGCTAATTGTCCCCAATATTCCCAACTTGGATAGCTTTCATGGTCACTGATTGAACCCTTCAGTGGTTAACACTCAAGCCAATTCTTAGGAATCCTGAATAAGTTATGTGATAGCTGGCACATTTATGGGTATCCGTACCTAGTGCTGGGATGGATGACCTGGGGTGTGATGACTAATGAAGAGGCCTTGTCAGGCTGCTGATTCCATGTGGATGGGGAGGAAGTTGTGGGAATGCAACAGAAAATATTATATTGTGCCAAACACATTGATTAAAACTCACAAGGAAGCACCAAAGAAACCTCCATATTCCACAATAGGGCTATTGTACCCTCCAAGCCCTAAATTTCTCCATCTTACTTGTTTATTACTTAAATAAAAATACTTATCTGAATAATCTTTGGATTTCAGATTTCTATGTCTTTGCAGTTTGGGGTAATAAGTTACCTTCAGTTGTCTGGCAAATTGTGAGTGGTTACTTCTGAATAAAATATGCATACACCAAAAAGATCTCTTGACTGTGTAAACATTTAAGTTGTTTTCTAGGCATCAGCTGAACACAGTCCTGGGGAGTAGCATGTATATGTGTGTGGATGGGAACAGTCCATACATTTTTACATGCACAAAAACTCAAAGTGCTACCTGCTATTTTAAGAGTCTAAACTCCAGCTCTCAACAAAGTTAAGCTCCTTTCCTTTTGCAAATGCATTTAATTTTATCTGGAAACTTTTTGACGTTCGAAATAGAACAACTGTAGTTTCTCATTATGTTTGCTGCCAGAATCCATGCTTCGTTGCTCAAGTAAAGACCTTATATTGCTAATTACTACCACATGCCCATATCCCAAGCGAAAGGAAACTTATTGATTCTGACAGCCCATTCTCTCAACACTGAATTCCAAATGAAAACTCAAATTTTGGCCAAACATAACATTTCATCAATCTTGTTCTACTGACTGGAAAAACAACATCAAACAAAGGGTGCTAATGGCCCTTTATTACCATTCCTTTCCCAAGCTTATATTTTCTGATGAAAGATCTAAGTGACCAAGGGCTTCTTTAAACTACTTGGTAATTAGCTTTTGAACCAGGAAACAATGCATAAAGTAAAGGGAACAGCCCGGTGTTGATGACAGGACATACCCTATTCCCAAAGGGTCTGGGGACATTGGAGACCCAAAAGAGAACGTTAAAAGCAAAATGTATTTTCATAAAGGGACAAGAAAAAGAGGGAGGAGGGGGAAGCAGGCTAAAAGCAGTGATAAAGGATTACAGAGTCAGAACTAGACTGGAGGGGCTCTGTGATCTAAAGCTCACAGCAGGTGGGCAGACATGCCAGCCTTTAAACCTGACCAGATCAGACCATGGCAGGCTACTGAGTACTGGTCTTAAGGCCTCATTTGGGCCACCCATCAACAGAATCTGTCAGCCAACAGCCCACCCATATTGGGTCACAGACACTATTCTGAAGAAGAGGAAAAAATTCCACCTGGAATGAGAGTCAAGAAATACTTTCAACTTAGATTTCAAAGTCATTGATTTTATTGACGTGATTGGGGACAGGGTTAAGGAGATGCTGGCTGAGACCACGGGGCTGGAACAGCTCTAATGGGGCCCTGGGAGTCTCAGAATACCTTCCACTTTACAGAGACCTGTCCAGATCTCAAAGGCACACAAAATTAGGAGGCTGTTTTCCTCTTGGTTTGAGATAAATGACGGAGAGGGAATCTTTGGGCTTATTTGGCCTTTTGGAACAAACCAATGGACCAGGCTTCAGGACAGCTTGGTTCTAACCTTTTCCAGGACTGCTAAGATAATAGGAAGGGGAGAGGCCTATGGGGGGAGATAGGGAGATGAGTTGCCTTCCCGAGAAGATGCCAACTGGCCTCCTTTCCCACTGTCCTCTGTCTATGAGAGAAAACTGCTGTCTTGTGGGTAGTTCAAGGAAATGAGCCCTCTCTCCACCTCCTCATTTTCTGAACAGAGGACTGGACACCTGAGCTCAGAGCGTGTTGGACTCAGTAATCACAGAGAAGCTCCCTGAGCTCCATCCAGCACGGCCAACTGTCAAGACAGGAGGGGCAGACATGGGGGAAAGGCATTTCCTATAGGCCACCTTCTGGTCCTCTTAAACACTGAACTAAGCTAATAATGTGACAACAAGTAAGAATAAGTAATACGATAAAAGAGCTCCTGGTGGGACATGGGGGTGGGGGATGGGCATGAATGGCACAGTTGTCCTGCTTTAATACACATGTGGATGACAGTGCCTGGGACATAGGTCAGTGCACATTCTTCTAGGTGTACACAGAATGCATGACCATTTCATTCTATGCATGCCACACCCTGAAATAAAAACAAAGCAGAATGGCCTTCTGAAAGCTTTCAAACAGGGTATTTGTTGACTTTTGAAGACAGTTGCAGCCACCCCATCCTCCCACCAACACTCCTCTGTTGGGATGGGCCTCTGGCAGTGGGTCAAGAGACTAAGGCCCTGCTATCAGCATTGGAGTAAAACTCCTCGTCCCCACTGGACCCATGCCTGATCCTGATGCTGATAAAGTGACCCAAGAACAAGCTTCACGTTTGGGAACTCAAACATGCACTCTGACACCACAACCGTAACAAGTCCTGCCCTGGAGACGCTCCCACTGTATGATGAGACCCTTCAACAAGCGTTTCCTGGTGGTCACAAGTATTCCACAGGGAAGATGGGCCAGGCCTTGTACGGCCCACATTAGTACATGCACCGAATATGATGATGCCACCTCAGTTGGAGGGACCAGAATTTTATCATATCACCTACTCATAAAATGAGCTTGGTTTGTATGTTAAGGATGAGGTTAGGTGCACATGGACCCCTTTAAATAAATTCACTATTATCTCTTGGAAATTGTGAATGGTCATAAGACCTCAAAGATGGTCCAGCCATCTCCTGTGCTCTGAAACCACGCCAAGGCAGAATGCACACTCTCCCTCATTAAACAAGTGGGCAGGGTGTGGGTAGGGGCATGGTCCAATGTCACAGGCATGGGGACTCAACAAATCACTCAAGCATATCTCCTCTGGTGCAACTGACTTACTTTCTGCCTCCATGTTTGTTAAAAGTCCCGCCGAATTTATTCCGATTCAGGATGAGAGCAGCAATTTCGGGCACGTAGCGGGCAAACATTGCCTACATGCATGAGACAAAGAAACAAGAGCCAAACAGAAACGGCATGCAGAGAGGCTCCTATGCCGGCCGCAGGGGCCGAGAAACCCCTTGGCATACTTACTTTCTTCCACTAACCGCGCTATAGGAGCCCCCGTATTTCTTGCGGTTTCCTATTAACTCTATGATTTCAGGGACGTAGCTGGCAAACATGGCCTAAGGAGAAGAGGGGAGACAGAAGAGAGACTAAAAAGACAGGCCAAAGAAAGGGTGACCTTTTCAGAGGGGGGATACTAAGATCTGAAAACACAAAAGGATTAGACCTGTGAAGATGCGTATTCATGTGTTGGATTATACAAAAATAACAGGACAAAGGGGAAAGTTCCTGAAAATGCATGGGATGAAACAAGCAGGAGTCAACCTAGAGGACTAGAAAACAACAGCAAATCATAGTCAAGACACATGTACTCCCTCATGTATGGATTTTAGACATAGATCTGGGGAGTGCCAGCCTACAGTCCCATGGCCAGAGAGTCTGGGAAACAGAAACTTCATTTAGTGGCTGATGGAAGCAGAGGCAGACTCCCACAGCTAAACACTGAGCTGAACTCAAGGAATCCAGTGACAGAGAGGGAGGACTGATGAGCAAAGGGGTTAAAACTGGGCTGGTTTAACTCCAGAAACAGCTGACCTGACAAGGGTTAGCTCCTGAATCCCAGGCTGATGGCTGGGAATCAGCATGGGACTGACCAAGACCCCCTGAATGTGGGTGTCAGTGAGGAGGCCTAGGCAATCTATGGGGCCTTAGGTAGTAGATCAGTATTTATCCTGGGTATACAAATGGACTTTGGACTCCCATCCAACAATGAGAGATGCACTCTCACCCTGAACTCTTGGGGGAGGGTCTAGGCCCTGCCCTGGATAAAATGACAGACTATGGACACCCCCATGGAGGGCCTCACCCTCCCTGGGGAAATGAGGGGATATTGGAGAGGGTTGGTGGGAGGGCACGGGAGGAGGAGAGGGAAAGGGAGAGAGACCTGGAATTGACATGTGAAACAACCTTTTTTCTAATTTAAATTTAAATTTAAAAATAAAATACAAAAATAATATAAAGGAGACAAGAGTAAATGAGCTAATGTCTTCTTCCTGAAGGGGAGTGGCTAAGAGGTGCACAGACTGGCAAAAGCACACCCATTCACTCACACACACATGCATGCATACACATGCACACATATGCATGGACGGACACACACAAGCACACATGCACAGGCACTCAGACATGCACACACATGCATGTGCACACATGCCCAGCCAGACACACGCACACACACCCATGCACACAACACACACACACACAATACACACACAAGTGCATGCGCACACACACATACACACGCATGCACACACACATGCACACACAAGCACACATGCACAGGCACTCAGACATGTACACACATGCATGTGCACACATGCACAGCCAGACACACACACATACACCTATGCACACACAACACACACACACACACATATTTTGTCAGAAAAGCCCTTCCAAATAACACTCAAAGGGGAATATTTTTATGAGTGGCTAAAGACACTAATACTAAAAGAGGATTAGAAATAAACATGTTCATTTAAAATGACTAAAAAGCATAAGAAGTCAACTTTGGAAATCACACAAGAGGAAAGGATAGCAAGGAGACACAAAGCTGCCATGTTTTGCCCAACAAGACTGTCCTGTGGCTGGATAATGGGGCTTCCTTATCTATGGCTCCCGCAGAAATGGTGTTAATGTCCACCACCACACACATTTATACACATTTTCAAAATGTATATGCCCCATGCATACAGAACAGAGAGAAATGCATGCATTGCTTCATATAAATGTGTGTGCAGTGCACATACGTGGCAGCTGTGTGTGGACTAGTAATCACTTACCTCATACCCAGAAAAAAAATCATATTTCATTATGAGCTACTTTGAAAGACAAAATGCAGCAACCGCTGGTGTGTTGCCTGGAAATTCCCTGGAATCACATCATACGCAATGGCCTCTTCCTGCATAGGGACCAGTGAAGCCAGTTTCACAGGGAGAAATGGAGTGGGCTTTGGACCTAGTCATGTCCTAACAATAGTGACATTTCCTAAATGAAGGGACCCTGTGCCAGCCACAGTGTTTGTTGGAAGTTTTCGGAGGAACATAAAGGGGAGGGGAACTCTCAAAACTGCTATCTGTCTGCAGAGTCTGGAGAGCACCATCTACCAGAGTCAGTAGCAGCAACTCTACCTGAATCCCACTACCAAAGGACACTTTATTAAAGGCATCTATCCCCTTAGACAGTTAGGTTTGCTCCTAGCTATGAGGACAATATGCCTGGGTCTGAGGGACAAGCATAACACTACGGATAAATACAACACAGTCACCATAGTGTATGGATTTAGTTTGCCTGGTTGGTTGCATTAAGGCAGTTACTTGCTTCCAGTGCAGAACACATAAAAAACACAAAGCCTACAGAAGTGGGTAGTAGCAAATATTAATAACCATTAAAATGGACATAATAAGAAAGAGGGTTTTTTTACCAGTCCCCCGAGAATGAAGAAGACCATGAAGAGGCGTCCAAGCGTCGTTTTTGCATAAACATCCCCGTAGCCCACTGTAGACATTGTGACCATTAGTAAGTAGACACATTCCCAGTACGTAAGCGCCTGGTTGTTTTGAAAATTTTCCCATGGGTCCCCTGAATTCTCCACCTACAGCAAGAGGATAAGGGGTGGGGAGAAAAAGAAACTGTCAGGTGTCCATTTGTGTTGAATATAGAAACCAGGAAGCCCAGGGCTCCAGAGGGCTGTTTCTGCATAAGCTTCTTATTCTCGGTACAGGATAGATGATTCCCTGTGCTAGTCACTGAGGAGTGATGTCCCAGAAACCCTCAGAGAACAGGAAGTAGATATAGCAACAGGGGCTGCCCTCTGACTGCCGGGGGCACCAAGGAGAGGGGATCAGGAGAAACACCCCTGGTGTGCTTTCCTGAACAAGTCCCGATGCTCTGGCCTTCTTCTCAGAATTCCTTATAAGGCAGGGGTGGGCAGCTCCTTTACCTTTCTCCCGGGATATCCTCGAACATTGTATCTAAGGACATCAGACCCAGCTCAGGTTCTGCCTGAACCCCAAAGATCATTTCCTCTTCTGAGACTGCAGTAGCTTTCTTTGCAGAAGCTCACTGGCAATTCTGCACTTTCAAATCTGGAACCTCCCTCTGGAACCCCAAGTGTGAACTCCTGGGAATTGCATCGCACAGTCTCTAGATCAAATGCCCTGCAGACTTTCGGTAAAGGGCTATCAGTAGGTTCAATTGGGGCTGCAGAGTTCCTGAGGTCTGCATAGCTACTCAACCCTGTGAGTGAAGCTGGAACCCAGCAGTGGGTGTTCAGCTGGATTTAGGGAACCAGAGCCTGGAAAGGCAGACTGCTCTTAGTAATTGGCTTCAGCAGGAATTAGGATGACAAAGGGTGAGATCTGACTAGACTGCCTCCATTATAAATTGTTGGGTAGGGACTGGAGAGGTAGTTTAGTGGTTAAGAGCATATATTACTCTTACACAGGACTGGAGTACAGTTCCCAGCATTCACTCTGAGCAGTTTGCAATCTCCTAAATATAGCTCTTCTTAGATTTAAAGATTTAAAACCCTCTTCTTGCCACCATGGGCACACCCACACATGTGCACATATCCCTACACAGGCACATAGGCATACACATAATTTAAAATAAACATATATATTTTAAAACCTTGTGTAAAACCCCCAATTATGTGGCTTAGCAGATGATGGAGCGGAGGTCATTTATTCCAAGTTTTACAGTCTGGTGGGTTCCTTCCGGTTGTAACAGCTTATGCGCATATGAAACGTGCATTCAATAGTAACTATGCTTTCTGAAAGCAGGCAGGAAAAATCCTGGGCGTGTCCCTGAGAAGGGTTGGGCTTAGTAAGAGCATTCAAAGAGCCTTAAAAATAACGTTTGCGGGGTTTGAAACAACTTGACAAGTCATAAAGTACGAGAAGCAAAGGCAACTTTTTGGGAGGGAGAAGTGGGGACAGGTTCAGGGATCTGAATTTGTTGTTTACAAAGAGCTCATGGTTCAAACTTTGAGCTTGCTGCCAGACCTTTTTCTTTGCGTTTGCTGTGGAAGCACTGCCATCTTGTGGCCTTCTACAGTTATTGCATACAGAATGAAAACTGCAAGTCTCCTTGAAGCAATACAGGAAATGCTGGAAAATACAGGTTGATTGTGCTAACATTATGCACCATTTGGAACTAGTTTGTGGGGGAGTATAAGGTAGGGGATTCCTAAAATTCTGTGGTTTGTCCCTCTTTCCTGTCTACAACCAAACGTGTCTCTCTTCAAAGAAACAAATGTTAGATAATAAAATGGCTCTGCAAGGGCTTGCTCCAGGCCAGCCAGGAAGGCAAGGTCGCCAAGTCTACTTACCAAGTGGATGAACCCGGCTGCAGTCAGCCAAGTGCTGATAAATATGGAGAGCAGATTCACCAGCTTGATGGAGTTGCTGTGCAAAGGAGACAAAGAGAGAGGTCCCGAGTTACAGAGAGAAGCTGTCTGATGGTGTCACAACGTCCCCTGCTTGGTCAGGAGTGAAAATCTCAACAGGGTCTGTCACAGCTGGGACTCAACATTAGTGCCCTCAAACTTGTTAAAAATTAACTTTTCTCTAGAACAAAATTATCCAAATATACAAAAAAGAAGAAGAGCAAATAAAATTTGTATATCCTTCACTTTATTTGACATTCCCCACGTCTCCAGTACCTCTGTATATCCTGTCTTATTTTTTCAGTGTTTTTCCTCTTTCCACTTACATTTTTATTCTTATCTGAGTCACTGTGTTGTGGGCATCACAGTACAACCTGTATCACAGCAGCAGCCAACTCCTCCGAGGGGACACCATGCAGTAGACTCCTGACACTGTTATATCCAAGACAACTAACTCAACTCAGCAACGGGATCTAACAAACAATCCTTATTTAAATGCCTCCAGGTGTCCCAAGGTTATTCTTAGTGAAGTTGCTACCATTTTCATCTTGCAGAAAGGAACTTTTATTTCCTGCCTCCTGGCCCAATGCAGTCCCTGGAGACGTTAGCCCTTCACCTCGGGCAATTTATCTATGGTACCACTGCCCACTTTCTGCCCATCTCTATCTCTTGGGTAACATCACCAACATTTTAAGAGCTTGGGGGATTAATGACGGTGACATAGGAGACTTTCACAGTGTGTATGTAGTGCTCAACCCATGCACCTCCATGCTGAGTGTTAGATGTAATCGACTCAATCTTCACAGGACCCTTTGAGGCCAACGGCGGCGGGGTTAGGACACTCACCGGTTTTACAGGGTGAGTTACACAGTGGTTGCTGTTGGATCTATCACACCACAGTCACAGTGTAGTGCCATTGAGAATAACTTCACTAATGGCTGCTGGAACTTGGATCTTGAATGCACAGTGCAAAGAGCAGGGTGGAGGCTATGGCCTAAGTTTTGCAAGGGAGGTCCCCCCCAACAGAGGTTATAATCATTTGTCCTGGGTCAAGCACGGAGCTTACACTTATGTAACTAAAGAAAGGCACCCATGGTCTCGGTTTGCCCAGAGTGGATTCTAAGAGCTCAGGAGCAAGATGAGTATGTGCTTCCAAAGCTGTGGGCGAGACTGGCCTTTCAAGGTGTGCACCTTGGTCATCTGCAGTATTACCATTTGTAGTTCCTGCTGTCTGCTGAAGTGTCGTTATGTGCTAAAAACTTGGCTGAGTCCTTCACCCTCTTCAGACTCTTACCCTTTACTCTAACGCACATGGTAGATGCTCACACTACTGTCATTCACCACCTAGGAAACAGGGTTAGGGAGCTAATTTAGCTTGTCTGGGAATCATAGTTTGTAAGTGGTAGGCTGCATAGAAGTAACTTGGGAAAACAATATAGGAAGCTGGGGGGGAGGGGTCTTTTCTGTCACCTGTGGTTTGTCCATCAGCTCTCCCCACAGCCCCTGACCTAGGAGACCAGGGTATCACTCAAAGGCTCCTCCCTGTTGGGGGGAAGTCCTGTGCATTTGTCAATAAAGCACTGTCTGGCCAATAGGGAATCAAGATAGGTGGGACTAGGAGTCCAGGAGGACTCTGGGAAGGAGAAACACAAGAGAGTCAAGATGTAACGCCATGGGGTAGGAAGCCCGGAAACTTCTCCGGTAAGAGACATACTTAGATTAACAATTATGGGGTAATTACTTAAGTCAGAGCTAGCCAGTAAGAAACAAGCAAAGCCAACAGCTTCATAATTAATATAGCCTCCTGTGTGTTTATTTGGGACTGATGCAGCTCTAGAACCAGGCTGGCGGAAAGGCTTCACTCAAAGAAAGAGCTTCTCTTTACACCTCCCTTTACTAAGAAGTTCAAAGAAATGTGGGCAGTGAAAGCCTCAGCCAGTAGACTGGCTGCACACCAGCAGACATGCTTTTCAGGAACTCCATGGAAGAGAGTTCTAGACCTTCTCCAGTACAAATTTGAACAACCTACCCTAGAGAAGTCCTCCTAAAAACAAGCCCAAAAAATATGGATAGAGAGGCAGAATCCAAAGTAGGCCTGAGTGCAAACATGCCTGATGTCATGCCTCTTGGACCCAATCATTCTGGAGGTGGGTTCTGTTACACAGCAGAAGTGGCTTATATCCAGAATGTTCTCTGAGAGCATCATAGCTGGTCAGGTATGTCTACTCTGTGGCCTGATGTAGTTAGAGCTTCATGGCTCTTTATGCATGGTTTGAAGTTGGCACTCTTGAGGGCAAAAATGCTTGTGACTGATCCTGACCTTCTAAGCTTTTTCAGACACCCCAGTAGATCACTCTACCCTTTGCCTCATCTCAAAGTCAGTTCTGTGACTAGGACTAGAATCACCAGCTAACAAAATAATGTTCTTACCAATTTCCATGCAACCCTCTCTCTGTAGCTGGGGCATGGTGGGGTCCTTGCCTCTTTGCTGCATGGAAAGGCTGACCAGGCTAGATGTCCCCTTCACTGGCTCCAGACTTCTCTATCAGAAGGCCAGTTCAGTGAGTCAGAGATCAGCAGGGTGGAAGTTAAACAAACCACGCCAGGGCTCTGCCTGCTGAGTGCCGTCTGAAGTGACCCTGGCAAACCAGCAGCTCACCCTACTTCACTGGCCACTATGTCTTGTTGCCTGGGAATTTCTGAGTGGAATATCAAAGCAGTGCTGCCCATTTCCCTGTCTCTACCTTGCAAGCCCCCTAAGATGCAACCAGATGTTGAAGAGGAAGAAGTAGGGAGAACAGGTAGCCTGTGGCAAAGGGAGGGATATATGTTTTGCTCTCACTTTCCCCAAGGAGAATTCAACACCTAATTGAGTCACTTACACACTCCCAAATCCTCAGGGCCTGGAAATGTACTGCGCCATCAACAACTGTGTGGAGTCATTTCAAGATATTAAATCTATTGACGTCTCTGAGTCTCTTGGTGCTTTGGGAAAATGGCCTAAATATGGTGATTATTAATCTCTAAATGATTGTCACAGGGATATTAATGGTGCTTAAGGGAGCTCTCGCTGTGTGCAGAACATTTAATCACTGTTGCTGAGACAGACCAGGTTGCTGAGATCTGATTATTTGTATGACATCAGGAGTATCACAGATTGCTTGCATGAGGAAGAGGACTTGCAAACTAAGCTATGAGCAAGTCAATGTCTGAGAGCTACGAGCAAGGCACACAAGACTAACCCTCAGTGAATGCTCTCTGTCCCTGTGATGCGGGCTTTGCCGTGTGACAGAGAACTGCTTGGGAGGGAGGGGTTGCCAGGAGAAGAATGTTGTGCATTTGTGGCCAAAGAGTCACTGGAGGTGGCTATGTGTGGCCTTCATGGCCAAGCTCAAAGACCTGGATAAAACATGAAACCATTAATCATCACAGTGCCGAGCTCTGACCATGCAGAGTCCAGCTCCTTGCCTTTAAGGAGAGATTGTGATCCTATCATAAAAACCTGGCACCTCTTTTAAAAGAAGTAATATTTGTGTTTCCACACATAAATTTTCCATGGCTGTTCTGGTTTGGTATTATTCTTAGTTACTTTTCTATTGCTGTGATAAGACAGGAAAAAAATACACTTATTGGGGCAAGTCTACAATCCATAGCCATCGTGGCTGGGGCATGGCAGCAGGCAAACAAGCAGAAGCGAGGGGCTTACATCCTTACCTGCAGAGAGCGCTAACAGGGAAGGCGGGGGCTTTTGAAGCCAGGGGCTTACATCCTTACCTGCAGAGAGCGCTAACAGGGAAGGCGGGGGCTTTTGAAGCCAGGGGCTTACATCCTTACCTGCAGAGAGCGCTAACAGGGAAGGCAGGGGCTTTTGAAGCCAGGGGCTTACATCCTTACCTGCAGAGAGCGCTAACAGGGAAGGCGGGGGCTTTTGAAGCCAGGGGCTTACATCCTTACCTGCAGAGAGCGCTAACAGGGAAGGCGGGGGCTTTTGAAGCCAGGGGCTTACATCCTTACCTGCAGAGAGCGCTAACAGGGAAGGCAGGGGCTTTGAAGCCAGGGGCTTACATCCTTACCTGCAGAGAGCGCTAACAAGGAAGGCAGGGGCTTTTGAAGCCAGGGGCTTACATCCTTACCTGCAGAGAGCGCTAACAGGGAAGGCGGGGGCTTTTGAAGCCAGGGGCTTACATCCTTACCTGCAGAGAGCGCTAACAGGGAAGGCGGGGGCTTTTGAAGCCAGGGGCTTACATCCTTACCTGCAGAGAGCGCTAACAAGGAAGGCAGGGGCTTTTGAAGCCAGGGGCTTACATCCTTACCTGCAGAGAGCGCTAACAGGGAAGGCGGGGGCTTTTGAAGCCAGGGGCTTACATCCTTACCTGCAGAGAGCGCTAACAGGGAAGGCGGGGGCTTTTGAAGCCAGGGGCTTACATCCTTACCTGCAGAGAGCGCTAACAAGGAAGGCAGGGGCTTTTGAAGCCAGGGGCTTACATCCTTACCTGCAGAGAGCGCTAACAGGGAAGGCGGGGGCTTTTGAAGCCAGGGGCTTACATCCTTACCTGCAGAGAGCGCTAACAGGGAAGGCGGGGGCTTTTGAAGCCAGGGGCTTACATCCTTACCTGCAGAGAGCGCTAACAAGGAAGGCAGGGGCTTTTGAAGCCAGGGGCTTACATCCTTACCTGCAGAGAGCGCTAACAGGGAAGGCAGGGGCTTTTGAAGCCAGGGGCTTACATCCTTACCTGCAGAGAGCGCTAACAGGGAAGGCAGGGGCTTTTGAAGCCAGGGGCTTACATCCTTACCTGCAGAGAGCGCTAACAAGGAAGGCAGGGGCTTTTGAAGCCAGGGGCTTACATCCTTACCTGCAGAGAGCGCTAACAGGGAAGGCAGGGGCTTTTGAAGCCAGGGGCTTACATCCTTACCTGCAGAGAGCGCTAACAGGGAAGGCAGGGGCTTTTGAAGCCAGGGGCTTACATCCTTACCTGCAGAGAGCGCTAACAGGGAAGGCGGGGGCTTTGAAGCCAGGGG